GCGACCCTGGGACGGATAGAAACCGTGGTGAGGGACCACCCCGTGCGCACCCGTTGTGGTGTGGAGAAAGTGCCACGCTTGCCACGCCCCGCGACCCTGGGACGGATAGACACCGCGGTGAGGCACCACCCCGTGCGCACCACCTCCTCTGGTGTGCAGAAAGTGCCACGCTTGCCGCGCCACGCGACCCCAGGACGGGTAGAGACCGCGGTGGGGGACCACCCCCTGCGCACCCCGTGTGGTGTGGAGAAAATGCCACGCTTGCCACGCCACGCGAGTGTGAACACGCCAGGCGTGCACTAGCGTTGTTAGTCTGTGTGTGTTTGTGTGTGTGTGTGCGTGTGTGCGAGCGTGTGCATGCGTGCGAGCGTGTGCATGCGTGCGGCTGTATGTGCACGCGTGTCTCATGCACATGCCGCGAGCGTGCCGCGCGTGGGTGAGGGAGGAAGGAGGAGGAGGGGAGGTGAGTGAGACGCGGGTGCAGCGCGGCAAGGAAGACAGCCATAACCCCACGAAGCACGCGGGTAAAACGAACCCCAGTAAACATGTGGGGAAGAAAACCAGAACCCACCAATCATGTGGGGAATACCCCCACGAAACATTTGGGAACACAACACGTATTGGGTGACAGGCTGTATCGGGACGTGTGTCCCATGTGGGTGCCCAGTATTTTGTGCATACGCCGTGGGTGTATGATGCTGAACACGCCAGGCGTGCACTAGCGTTGTATGGTGTGTGTGTGTGCAAGTGTGTGCGCGCGTGCGGTTGTGCGGGTGGAGGGAGAACGGAAGAGGAGGAGAGGGAGGATGGAGGAGGAAGGTGTGAGGAAGACGCGGGTGCGACGCGGGTGGGAAGAAACCCAAACCCCTCTAAGCACGTGGGGAAAGGAGCGACGCACCAGCGCCAGGCCCACGCCTACGTAGCAAACGCATGTTTCGCTTATTTCAGATAGCCTCGAGAAAGTCCCCAGGGGCGCCCTGGGGGTGCGCGCATTTTTCTTGTACTTTTTTCAAATGGCCTCGAGAAAGTCCCCAGGGGCGCCCTGGGGGCGCGCGTATTTTTCATGCACTCTTTACCTACTTGCCCGGGCCGGGTCGTGGCAGAGCGGGGGCCAGGCCGTCGGGGCCGGGCCGGGGCCGGGCCGGGTGCACGGCCGAGCGGGGCCCAGGTGGGGTCGGCCGATGGAGGGCCGTGGAGCGACCGGGCGCCGCGGGCAGACGTATCGTGCCAGCGGGGCGGCCAGGATTGAAGCCGAGCTAGGGTTGAGCAAAGACGAGGTCGGAGCGCTTGGCTGGCGTGGGAGCGGCGATGGGTCTGGCGCTGGAGATGGCCCAGGGTAGAAGTCTCGGAACCAGGCAAATTGAGAAATCCCCAAAGGTGGTTCGGAGGTCGTCCTCGTAGTCGTTTCGAAATGGTGGTGTCGAGTCGATTGCGATTCGTTGTTTTCGCGCGCGAGGGCCCGAAGGTCGTTTTCGTTTTGGTGTTTTTCGCACTGTATGTGGCGAGTTCAATATCGACCTCGCTTTTTTCTGATATTTCGGATCCAGCTCAAAGCAGCACTCATGTAAGTCGTTGAAATGTCTGTTGATGCAGAGTGTGCTGACGCATCCTCGCCCCATCTCCTCCAGCTTCTCGCTCAGTCCTTCCTCGACCTACTTTGCCTTTTCGTGGGACCCGACAGCCCTCCATCCTCCTCCCTCCCCCCAGTGCCTTCGGGCCTCCTTGGTCCTCCTCGTAGTTGTCAGAGTTCAATAGATACAAACCACCCCCGACAGAAACGGTGACACGACGTTGGTGACGCTGGCGGTGGAGACGGCGACGGCGACGAGCCCCCCTTTAGAGACACATGAGGGCAATGCCAACAAGGACCTGTTTAGCCCCCCCAAACCTTGGGAGCACCCTGAACTGTCCGACAGCACTGGGGCAAGGTAGGGAGATTCAGGCTGTTGGTTTCTGGGGCTTGCAAGTTCCCACCAAACCCCCAAACGCGTCGGGTCAACGTAATCTCGGGGTAGGTGCATCAAACACACGTGGGGGCCCGATGTAACATACAGCAAAGTAAACGCAGCCAAACGCCAGACGAGGGGGGGCGAGTGGGGATGAGGGCACGGGCGAGGAGGAACTTCACGGCAGGAGGGGGCGTGGGAGGGGGAGCTGCCACAACCATTTGGGCACAAACCGTTTCGACGTTCGGCCCCATTTTGGGGCGACAGGCTGCTCCGAACAATGTAGCGAGCGCGCCGCAGGGCCACCTAGCGGTGGCCATGCTAGACAGTGATTCTGATGATTGGAACGCCAGCGGTGGTGGTCAGATCGTCGCGGCCCGTCCTGCATCAGATGCGCAGAGCGACGACGACGACGACTGGAACGCGGCAGTCGATCCAGTCGATCGCCGCGGCGAGCTGGAACCATGTCATGCGATTGTTGCAGTTCACCCTGCCCCTGCTGTCAGTGACGCGTGTGCGCCCATTGCCGACGTCCCGCAACAAGACTTGGCGATGAGAAGCAGGTTGCGCCAGAGACGACTAGATGGTTGCAGGGACATCGTCCACACATACCAGACTCAGGTTCGGTGCACATCGAAAGCCAGGTCTTTATTCCATGGTCAAGGTAGCAGCCATCATCTTGTCGAGAAGGCTCGGGCCAGCGCGTTTTACCTGTATAGAGGCCTTCGCAAGAAAGTTGCAGACCTTCTTCGCATTGCAGTTCGTCGGTCTGGACTTGGTGGCTCTGGAGATGACAAGTCTAAAGCAGTTGTTTACATCAGACGCAGAAAATATGATGAGGCCCAGCAGCCTTGCGTCGCCCCGATACCTGCGGGAGTCGATGCGCCTGGCCACGACTTGTTAGCGATTCCCGACAATCGAGGGCACCTTTTGGACAAACAGGACAAACGCCACAATGTCATGGTGAGTGAACTTGCTTGGGGGGTCATCCTACGACGTCTTCGTGGAGATCGGTCCGAATACCTTACACTGCTGGGCCGACTGCCGTCCATCTTACAGACGATCGACAAGAACAATGGTGAGACAGTCGTTGAGAGCTTGCGCCTGCAGAACTTCGAAGGCGAGTCCGATGCTGTTGCAGGCGTTGAGAGGGTAGTGAACATCGCGTGCCACGACGAGGGCGCCCCGAATATTCGAGCAGAGCGATACCTCAACGATCGAGCTGGGCCCCGTGAGACAACGCTCACCCTTCTTTGTCTAGCCAACAAAAAGGCTCAATGCAATGGGGAGTTGAACCGAGTTCAGAAACCAGTTGATTCACATCTTATCAGGCTGCAGTTGTCGATGCAAGGGTCGCACGGCTCGAACGTGATCGACGCCGCCCGAGCGATCATCCAGGAGAGAGTCAACATCATTTCCGCCGACAGTTTGAGCACTGAGGCGCTGGACAGGATGGGGTCTACTTTGCAGTTGTGCTTATCTGGTTCGACTCCGTACGACCGTTACCGCAGGCATGTTGTATCAAACTTGTTCTATGGAGATTGGGGCAAGCATGATATTTTCAGAGTGGTTGATCGATGCAATCTTGGTCGTCCACGGCTGGTTCAGATGCTGTGCACTTTGGGTTTGCAATGCTTCTCGCCGAGGCGAGCTTGGAAGGTCTTGCAGCGCCGCAATTGGACGGGCAGCGACGCGCGCGTGGACCAGGTCTTGCTGCCCACGCTGATCTTCGGTATCTTCCCAGCGGCGTACTGCAGAGTAGCCGACGTTGATCTGGCTGCTGCAGGTGCCTCTGCACGAAGCTCACGGGGGGAGGTCCAGCGGGGGAGGGCTTCGGTGGCCCATCGGCCTCGCCTCCCAATCGGTCGTCTTTCTGGGTCCTCGACCCCCCGTCGCTCTTCTCCACGGGGCACCTCTGTCGGGTCTTCTCTCGAGCTCGCCGTCGATATCGTGCCGCGTCCTTCGGCGATCCCCCTTGCGGCGTCGCCGCTCTCGCCCTTCTCGTCCTCTCTCCCTCGGTTGCCGAACCCACTGGGGAGCGTGGGATCGATGGTGCCGCTAGGTGCGGCCGCCGCTGCCTTGTCCAGCGACGTGCTCGGCGCTGCCGGCTTGGGCCCGTCCGACGTCGGCGACGAGGGCGAGGATGATGAGAACTTGTGGAAGGAGGATTCGGGCGATCGCAAGACGCGGGCGACGTCTTAGATTCTGAGTGGCAGATTTCAGGATGATCTCGCGTTGTTTCGGATCTGCCTGCAGAGATCTATGCCATGGGTTCTTCGGCAGCTTCGGTCTTCCAGCGTTTTTTTTCGAGCGTGAACAGCGAGCTTGCTTCTTGCGGGGCGGTGGCCGCCATTACCATGCGATTTTACAGTACGAAGGCGAGGACAACGACGCCTTCATGAATGGTGTTGGCGACATGGTGTTCAAGGATTCCGAATTCGATCTCGTCAGCCGTCTCACCGAGCCCCAGCAGTTGATGGCACTCCTCATGAGCATTCGGCTGGGCGCCGCCGCGCACGAGCTTGTCATCACCAGATGTCGTAAGCCACTCTATCCAACGTTAGCGGCTCTGAAGTACCCAGAGGTTCTTGATCAGCTGCCCAAGCAATGCCCGAACACATTGGACTTGTACACCAGAAGTCTCTTGTTTTTTTTATAAAGCAGACATTCGCGGGGCTGGCGCCAGGGCCGAACTTACTTCAGTGAACTTGCTGGCTGATACCGACACGAGCTCGACAGAACGAAAACATTCAGTCCAAGCCAAGAAAGCGGGTTCAACGACAACGAACAAAAAACACATCATGGATCTGAGTGCAGAGGTGTTCTTCTCGGAGGAGATGTCAACTGGCTTGTGGCGTTCGCGGCCGACTGACACGGCTGCCCCTCGTGCGCAACCCTCTGGATGTCGAGGCGACCTTGAGGATGGACATCAGCGTAAGCAGGTTTGTCGCATGGGGCCGTGGCGGGCTTTTTCTTCATTGTTCTGGCTTGCCGATCAACCCATCTTTGATGGCAGAACTATCACTTCGCTATGGCGGGTTGGACGAAGAGCAGATGCAGTACAACGAGCAGCTCGGTCGCATCATGTCAACGGTAGCTCCCGCTGGTGCAAAGCTACGGCCACAGCGGAAACGGCCACGGATCGACGCGCTTCCGTTGGACGATGGCATGCCAGAGGGGCCAGTGGCAGACGAGCCTGAGGATCCAGACGCTGACGACGACCGCCGCCACGCCACCGCTAGTTACAAGCTCAACATGCGGGAGTTCCGCGACGTGCTCCGTCGCGAAAAGCAAACGCGCCGCGAGTTGGCGTCCAAGCAGGTCGAGATCGAGAAGGAGGTCAAGGCTGGCTCGCCCGACCCAGCGACACTTGCAGCTACCGCGAGGTCAACCATGGGCGCCCGTGAATGCCCCTGCGCGTCCGACCGTCTTCGGTCTTAGTTTGTTTTTTTCGGCGTCTTGGCTTTCAAAACGGTTTGGACTACGTGTCACGGGGGGCGGGCGTGAGCATTCACGGGCACCGCGGTAGGTCGTGGCGCCTGATGGGCGCAGAGCAGCAGGCGCATTTCCAGGCGGAGCGCGCCCATTCCCACTCTGCGTTCGTCACCCTTGACTTGTCCACCGATGAGGCGTTGGAGGCCGCCGGCGAAGCTGCTGCTGAATTTACGCAGGAGGCAGCACCGCAAGAGTGGAGGCGCCTCCGCGCGCAGATCATGACATCGCGCGTTGAGAAACTCGGGAAGGTACTGGCCAGTCGTACACCGTGTTTCGAGGCTGGCTATTGTGTGTGCCAAGGCGACCTCGGAAAACTCATGAGACTGTTCGTGGCCCGCTTCCGCGCTGCTCTTCGTGGCTTGAAGGCAGCGCTCGGCACGAAGAAGCACTTCAAGCTGCTCGTGAGCGACGTCCCGATGCTGGTTGTTAAGGTCGAGGCTGTGAATGGCGCTGGGGAGAACCTTGGATCTGACCTGTGGCTGCACGTCAGTAAGTATCGTGAACTACCAACGTTGTACCCTACCTTCTGCAATATGATTCGTCTCCCTGCTGAAGACCGCCATGACTTAATTGGCGCGGCGCCAGTCCAGGACGGCAGGGCCCCAGACTTCGTCGACATTTGGGCGGTGTGCCGTCGCTTGCTGCCCTTGGACGATTCGTTGAACCTCGTGTTCTACAAGCTCGTTGGGCAACCGCATGTACGAGTTCTCAGGGTAACACCGTCACGGCAAAGGGTTCATCGACTGCATGTGGAGGGGAGCGCGTACCCAGCCATCGCCATCTGGGACGGCGCGGAGGCCGAGGTGTACAAGCTTGACGAAGCCGAGAAAGCTGCCAGGGAGCTTGCGCGCCGAGGGCGCGGTCGCGGACGAGGAGGCAGCCTTGGACGTGGCTCGGGTTGTGGTCGTGGACGGGGCGGTGGTGCATCAGCAGCGGCTCATGACGATGCTATGGAGGTGGTCGTGCATGGCTTGGACCGCGGCGTCGACGACGAGCAGCAGCTTGCAGCGGCCACCGAACCTGAATGCGCAGCAGATGACGATGATGCCGCGCCCCAGCATGGATTCCATTCCGCCTGTGGTTCCTCGGCAGCGCTATTCATGGACAGCGACGCGGACACTGACCGCGACCTGTCCGAAGAGATGCTGGGTGACAACATTGCGGATGACATCGGGTCCGTGCCACCGGATGTTGATTTGGAAGAACACCTTGACCAACAGTTGTGCCAGTTCTCGAAGCCACCGTCTCCATGTCCAGGCAGCCCTGTCTCGGTGTCGGGCGACGTGCCGATAGAGCCGAGCGCGCCCTCCAGTGGACCTGGTCATGTCAGGGCTCCGCGTGAGCTCAAGTGGAACAGTAACGCCATCACCGTCAACACTGACCATGGGACCATCAAGCATTACAGGGTGACGAAGCGCTTGATAGCAGAGCTGCCGCTCGCAGTGTTCAAGGTGAGAACTACACAGGAGAGGTCGTGCCACGCATCTTTACATCGTTGCAAGGGGAGGCCGATCGGCTACTTGATGGCGTGGCTGATGTTCCCGAACGTGGAGAGTGGGCGAGGTCGCCATGTCCGAGGGTTCCTGGCGAGCCTCGACTTTCGAAAGAGATGCAGGGATATGTTCAAAGCGATCGGTGGTCCCGAGGTCGAGTTCATTTTGAACCATGGTGAGCGCGAGCTTCAGCCTGGCGAGCCAGAGGAGCCCGAGGTTGCAAACTGAGCCGGCTCAGCACTTGTGAAAACAATGGAATCTCCATGGCGTAATTGTTGTGGCCCCCGTGCTTGCCGTCCGTCGGCGTCGTTTCTTCCTGTTGATGGGGCAGCGGTCAGCAAATGACGAGGTCAGAGCCAGATAGCTTTAGCGAGCGAGTGAGGAGAGGAGGAGGACAGAACCAGGAGGAGGAGGGCGAAAAGGAGGATGAGAACGTAACGGAGGGGGGGGGGGGGCCCTTCACCCGATGGCGCCTGCATGGAGCGCGACGGCGATGGTCGTCAAGCGCGGGGGCGGCGCGCCCACCGCGGCGTTTTATCCTCTCTCTCTCCCTCTTTCTCGTTTCTTTTTCCTCCTCCTCGCTTCCTCCCTCTTCCTCTCTCGCTCTCTCTTTCTCTCCGCGACCTTTCTTTTTCCCGCTCTCTCTCTCTCTCTCTCTCTCTCTCTCTCTCTCTCTCTCTCTCTCTCTCTCTCTCTTTCTTTCTATCTCTTGCTCTCGCCTTCTCTCTCTGCGGGGCCCCTCGCCGCCTCAAGTGGGCTTCCTCCTTCGCTTCTCTCTTCTCCCTGTCGGACTCACTGCTGACCACCTCGTGCCTCGTCGCCGCCCTCACTTGGCACCCCCCCCCGCCTGGAAGGCTCGAAGGAGCAAGGACTTGTTGGTTTCTGAATGCATCGTTGTATGTTTTGCACTCGCCTGTCGGCGCTCCGACGTCGCCTGAAGGGGCCTGGAGGGGCCCTGAGATCTGGCCGACGATCCTGGCCTTGGTGGGGGGGGGGGAGGGCGAGCCCCCTTCTTCAATCTGGCACGCCCCGCGCTCCAGACAATCCGAACGTGGCCCCATGTAGACCATTGGCGGGCCCGCGCACGGAGGCTCAAGCACGAGCATCTAACTAGCATTCGGCAGCATTCGCGCCGAAATAACATCTCCAGGAAACGCACCCAAACAAAAACGCTGGTCTCAATATTCTGCAGTGGCGCACAAGGAACAGACGTCGAAGTGCCTCCCCCCATGGCACCTGTCCCCGCCCCAAGGCCCTAGACCCTAGACCCCCTATCCACCCTCGCCCCCCCCCCCCCCCCCCCCCCCCCACCCCCCCCCCCCCCCTTTTCCCGCCCCCCCCCCCCAGGGCAGCGTTGAGAGCGCCAAGTGGCCTCCGTGCGCATTTCGCACCACATAGCTCGCACCTGCGGCGAAAATTCACCACAATAAAATCAAATATATGAATTCCGCGACGCGGCAGCGAGCACCAAATGTCAACATGGTTACAACGCACACGCATGCCAGCCGTGTGGCTGTCGTCGCTTAGTCCACTGAGTATAGCTGTGTTCTCCGCGCTGTGCTTATCGCAATCCAAATGGCTGGCGCCGCCGCAATTCAACCATTGTTGTGGCGCAAGCGGTGCCTGCGATTTGCGCGCGCCGTCACAAAACCCGCTTCGGTTAGGTGCCGTCGGGCTGCCCAGCAGAAGCGCGCGCTCATGCCTATGTCAATCCGCGACGGCCCTGCCTTATCTCGGATGCGTCGTAGCCAGTCGGGCCCATCGCGCACGTCGTTATTATCATGCGCCAGAATGGCAACCGAACTGTTTAGGCGCTCAGCATGGCCCAACTCTGCCACAGCATGGCGCAAGCGCTTATGTTCCGAGCCGCAGGGCGTTGGAGGATGCCACCGAAAGCGTCGCAGAGGGGAGCCGCGATGCAAGCATATGGGTCATGCGCTGACATCAGCCGCGCCGCTCGCCATGGCGCAGTACGTTCGCGATGATCGCGCGTTCCGTAGATGCGCGCCGAAAGCAATCACATTTGCACATCGCGAAGCGCCGAAGAGCCCCACCTCAGCGCGTCGCGAAGTCAAAGCGCGTCGTTGCGTTTCGGGGCGTGAGCTGAATTACGCGTGGGCCCCGCGACCGCGACGCGCATGCAAACCAAACGCTTGGCAGCGCATTTGCACCCCCAGTCGGTTGTCGTGGTTTACTATGCGTCGGCGGCCTGCGCGTGCATATGCTAAGTGTCAGCGGTCAATCCTGGTGGGCGTCACTGAGCTTGCGCCTTTCGTAGCGCGCTTTTTTCGCGTGACAGCGCGTCAGGCAGAGTTTCGGTGATTATGCGCGCGTCATGCTGCGTGCGAGACGCGCAAAGCTCGCAATGTGCTCGGCCTGGTGCACGCGGTTTGGGGCACTGTCTGCCGCGTAAGCCGCGCATGTCGCATTGCATGGCAGAGCTGCGCGCGCGACCCATGCTGCGTTTCAAGTGCCCCTGCAAGGATCGCTGCCATCAATACCTGCTGCGCGCGTGCATTTGCAGGGACGGGCGCGGACTGGTGGCGGTGATGGCGGAGGCGCGCATGCGTGCTGTTCTTGGGGATGCTGCGCGCGGGGCAGCGCGGCCAACGGGGTGCGGGCGGGGCAGGGCGCGGGCGGGGCAGCGTTCGCAATGTCGCACTGTCAGAGCTACATACTTCACATTGCGACGGCGGCAGGGGCCCTCACACGCTACACGTCACGCTGGTACTCTCTTTGCTGCGCGACCACCGTTGGTTGCGCTCGAATTGTTGACGCCAGGAACCTGGTCTTTCAATCCGAAGGCGTCGGCGCCCAGGCACCAGCTGACGTTCAAGCTCGTGATGCGCCAGTCAGATCGGCCATTTGGGTTGGGCTATGTCTTTCGACAGCCAGAACGGTTTTGAGATGCTGGTCGGCTGGTGTTGCGGTGGTGTCCTTGATTGGGCTTGGGTCTGTGGATGGGCTTTGGATGCGAGGTATGGTCTTGGGCCAGTGCCTCGTGTTAGGTCGTTTGCGGCTTCGCGTGCCCTCATAGGATTTCCTTTCGGTGCTTTGCGGGCCCACGCGCGCTGAAATTTCTGGCTCTGTGATCATGTCTCGTCTTTTCAATGCGGACATGCGCGTGCGTGCGCGTGTGTGATTGTGCGTGCGTTGTGGTTGGCGGCGGTGGCAGAAGCGGCGCGGGTTGGCGGGCGAGTGGGCGGCGCGCACGCGCGTGCGGATGGGCAACGAGGTCGAGTCTTGTCGCAATTGGCCCTAGGGTTACGCCACGCGCCGCTCCGATGTCAGCGGCGCGTCGCCCTCCCAACAAATTGGAGTGTCGCGCGGGCCGCGCGCTCTGCGGTGCCTGTGGCGGGCATGGCATGGAGGGGGGGGGGGGGGGGGGGTGTGCGCGAATGCAGGGCGCTTGCTCGTCGTCTTCGCGAATCCAGCGCGGTGGCTAGTGCGAGATTGCAGTTCGGACCGCTTCATCTCGCCGAGGGCGCGATAGGAACAATATCAGTTGTAACCCGCGCAGCTCTAAGTAGCAGGGCGGTAGTCGTACTAGCAGTGTTAAATTTGCACGCGCAGCTGCAGACGAGTAAGCTCAGGCGTCGTGGCAGCAACGCCCGTTTCCCTCGAGTTTGGCGGCGGTTCTTCCATTGTTTGCGTTTCCTGAGGCGTTGCGCCGCCCGATGACATGCGGTTGCGCTCCTCTTCTGCATCCCGTGGGCCCGCTGGCGCCGCAGCTTCCACATTGGAGTCGCCCTTGCTCAGGGGCGGAGATAAGGCGGCACGGGCTATCTTCATGTGATGGCAGTTTCATGTCGACGGGCGTTGAATTTCAGGTTCCTGCATGCGCGCGACGTGCACAGCGTCCCGAACCTGATGGCCGCAGACTCACTTGCGACTGCGCGTGCGTGCGTGCGTGCGCGTGCGTGCGCGCGTGCGCGTGCATGTGTGCGTGGTGTTTGGGCGTGGAGGTGCGGGCAGTGCTGGAGTGAGGTAGGTGCGGTGGCGGGGTGGGGTGGGGTGGGGCGGGGCGGTGTAGTGGGTGTGGCGTGCGTGCGCGTTTGCATGTGCGTTCGCATGGCTGGTGGAGTCTGAGGGTTCGTCGGGGGCGAAGTCCGTTGCGAGAGATCCTCCATCGCGGACGCGTGACGCAGCAGGGGCTCGCGATGATGCTGAAGACATTTGCTTCGGTGGCGGCGGACTTACCAGCCAGTGTATCGGAGAAGGACGCGGGGTGGGGGGCGGTGGTGGGGTGGGGGGCGGTGGCGGTGGTAAGTGGGCAGGGTGGGGTGGGGTGGTGGTGGTGTGTGTGGGGGGTGGTGGTCTGTGTGGTGGGTGCGTGCGCGTGTGCTGCGCGTGCGTGCGCGCGTGCGTTCGCATGTGCGTGCGCGTGTTTGTGCGCGGGTGCGTCGGCGCGTGCGCGCGCGTGTGTTTTTGTTTGGGGGAGGGGGAGGGGGGGCGCGCGCGCGGTGGCCATGGTGGTGGTGGTGGTGGGTGGTGGGGCAAGGGCTTGCATTGATTGTTTTTTGTTTAATGGGAAGCGCGGCGGGCCCCACGGCGCCATTCGACGCAGTGTTGCCACGCGCGTTCTGCGGGCTTGCGGCGCGCCAGCGTTTGGCGCGTCGGCCTAATGTGGTAGGTGCACAAGCGCATCGCGCATGCCTGTATTGGGCAGTGCAAGGACGCGCGCTCGCGCCCGATCCGAGCTCGGAGATGAACTGCCGACGGGACGGACAACTTGGAAGAGCCATCGCAGCCGACCCTGGGTTCGAGTTGTGGGCATCGCGGCCGCAACGCGAGCGACCTCAGGGCAGCGTTTGAAGTTCACCCGCCAGATCGAGAACGACCTCCCGACGACCTCCCGACGGCCTCCCGACGACCTCCCGACCGTTCCCAGCCGATGCGTGGACGACCTCCCGACGACCTCCGAACCACCCCCCGACCACCTCCGAACCACCTCCCAACCACCCCCCGACCACCTCCCGACGTGCGCTGGCTCCCGACGACCTCCCGACGACCTCCCGACGACCTTCCGAGCGCGACGCTCCCGACGGCGGGCTTGGCGGCGACCCAGAACCTTCGTTTCGAGTTGGCGGAGAGATGCGCGATCTCCGTCGGGGGATCGTGTTGCCGCCGCGACCATGCCAAAGGTGATTGGCACGCGGCCAATTGCGGGGACTCGGCGCGGTGGCGGTCCGTGTCACGTCGGTTGTCCGATGCGCCATTGCGTCTGGAATTTTGCAAAGTACCCCCACCCCCCCACTCGAAATTTTGCAAAGTACCCACCCCCCACCCCCACCGCTGCCCCACCCTTGCCCAATGCGTTTGAATGTTTGCAAAGTACCCCACCCCCCCCCCACCACCACGGCA